CGGTCACGTAATTGGATGGCGCCAGCCCTAGAGCTCGAGGGCGAGCGGCGCTGGACGGCGGCAGTCGGCGTCGAGAAACCGATCGCGATGGGAGACAACGTCAGCAAGGAGGAGCTCGGGGATAACCTGGCGGCGGCGCAGCAGGACAACGGGTTCGAGGACGAGGAGGACTTTAGTTCGGAGGAGACTGACGAGGAGGCGCACGATCAAGAAGCCCCGGCCTCATCGAAGGAACCCGTCGCTGCCCAGGGGAAGGAAAGCAACGACACGCTCCCGGACTTGCCCAGGAAGGGGAGTGAGAGGGCAGCGGCGGAAGAGGAAAGCAGCGCCTCCGGATCAGACGGAAGCGATTCCGAAAGGGAGGAAGACGGAAGTGCGTTCGGCAAAGAAGGCCGTTCGGCGGACAGTGAAAGGGCTGCTTCGGAAATGTCGGACGACGACGCAGAGACAATTGGGAAGGAAGACGGCTCGGCGGAGTCTGTTAGCGATGTGAACGGAAATTCCACGGACGCGGAGGAGGAAGGACGAAACGCTAAGGATAAAATGGCAATATCGCAAATCCATAAACCCGAACACAAGCTGGAAGATGATGAGAGTAATGACAAAAAAGAGGTTGTGTCCGAATCAGTCGCAGAGCCGACAGAAACATTAGAGGAGGAAAACGGTGACCCGAAACAAGAAATGGTAGGCATATCAGATAAGTTATTAGAATCGGCGCACAAAGAGTTCACATCTGAAGCCGAGGAAGATGGGTCGGAAACCGTCGAGGAAAAAGACAGTTCGTCTGACGAAATGAGCGAAAGGGAAGATGGTTCGCACAGTGTTTCGGAGAGAGCCGGAGAGGCAGCCGTGTCGGAATGCGGGCTTTCTGATTCAGCGATGAAGCACGTGACCGCTGAGCTTGGAGTGGCCGGGCCAGACGAAGACACCGAGCATGTACACAAAGAGACTGCGGAGCCTCTTGAAGGGGCAGGTACCTGTACTCTGCAAGTGGAGGGTTTTGGGCGGGAAAGACAGAACTCCTTCGTGGAAGAGACTGTTGTGGAGGTTATCAGGAAAAGCCTAGAGAGTGTTAGCGCTTTAGAAATGAAGATAGAGCCAGATCCTTCTCTTGTGTCGGCTCAGGCTTCCGAGGGCGCTGTTGTTGTTGAGAGCAAAGACCTAGAGGTGAAGGGCACCAGCAGGTCGGGGGAAACTGCTGAGGAAGCGGAGGGATTTGCACACGCCGGGGCGCTGGCGAACATCAGAAAGGAGTCACCGGCAGTGAAAGAAGAACCTGGCGGGCAAGAGCATGATGAATCAAAGCAGGAAGAAGCCACGGGTCCTGAGGCCGATACAGTTGCAAATGCGGATGCTGGAAAGTGTCCAGAAATAATAGTGGAGGGCATTGGCACCTCGCCAAAAATGGGAGGTGATCTTGAGACTTTCCTGGTTCATGCAGACATGTGCGAGTCTGTTTATTACGACCGGAACGAAGCTGAGCCAGAAACTTGTCCTGAACCGGTCACTTCCTCAGTTGCCGACACCGCGGAGCACCAGGAAGAAGCACTTATGTCAGACGCCATGGAAACCGTATCGCAGACACAAGCTGAGGCGACGCCGAGAGCAGCAGGGGCTGAAGATGGGCAACAGACGCCGGGTATCGAGATGAGTCCACCTCCGCATGTGCTGGAAGTTTCGAATGTCATCGCGTCCAGTGATTCTGAACAAGAAAAGGAGGAAGGAGAGGACGCCTGTGGTGGCAGTGGTTCTTCAAAGGACACGGTGGAGGAGGATGAAGCAGACACGGTGGAGGATGTGAAGAAAGATCAGCCTGAAGACGTCACGGTCGAGGGAAGTGATGAAGCAGGGACTTCTGAAAGTTTTTCATATACTGAAGGTGAAGCAGAATTGTCCGTTGCAAGTGATACTGATTCGCGAATCGCCGTGAGTGAAGTAGAGGGTATAAACAGTTCTACATCAGAAGATGGTACTAATAAAGCAGACATTGAAAAAGACGAATCTGAAGCTGAACTGTCTGCGACAGACGTAACTGTAACTGAAACGGTTGGAGCCGAAGCAGTTGTTGATAAAGTTGTTACAGCAAAAAGTGCTGACAGCTTTTCAGATGAGCTTGTAACAGAATCCGCATCGGAAGTTATTGACGATGAATCAGGCTTGCAAGTGATAGAAAAAAGTCGTGTTGCTGAAACTGAAGATAGTGCAACACCTATCACTGTGAGTGACGAAAGTGAAATACAAGAATGTGTATCCACAAGAAGCACTGAGGATGATTCAGAATTGAGTGTGTCAGATGCTACAAAAGATGGTGTGGTAAGTGAAATAGAAGTACCAGTTTTACTTGAGAGTGCCGAGGAGGAAACAAAAATACCAGCTATAGTAGAAATAGAAATACCAGCTACACCTGAAAGTTACGAGGCAGAAACAATACTACTAGCCACTGCAGACATAGAAATACCAGCTACGCCTGAAAGTGACGAGGGAGAAACAGAAAAACTGGTTTTAGCAGTAAGTACTAAGGAAGAAACTGAACTCCCCCTCATGACGGATAAGAAAATATATGTGCAACTCCGAGCAGAGGTCCCTGAGAGCAGAGCCGAAGTCGCTGCCGCACCAGAATGTATCGAGGATGAAGCAGAGTTGTCTGGCTCAACAGACAGTATCGAAGAAGAAACGAAGGAATCTGTTGATTTACAAAAAGAAGAAGTAACTCTCACAGAAATTAGTGAGACTGCATCAGAAACGCTTGTTCCGTCAGATAGCACATTAAGAGAAAAAACAGAGGATAGTGAAGTGCAAGAGACCGATGTTACTGAAGAGATGACTGAGAGCGAAAGAGAGGACGTGACAGATGTTACGGCAGAAAGCACTGAGGATGAGATAGCACACACTACAACGGAAGAAGAAGTAGAATTACTTGTAACAGAAATCGAGAATTTGGAAGATAATGAAGAGAACGTTCCATCAGAGGGTGCTGTTACAACACAGACCGGGGCAGGCGCCCAAGGAGTAGAAATGTCTGTAGAAGAGAAAGAGGAGGATGTGTCAACGGAGGAGCCTTTTACACCCGGAAGTATTGAGAGTGAAATGGGAGGAACAACAGAAGGTACGGAAAACGAATCTGTTACATCAGAGAGCTATGAAGAAATAGAATTGCCAGTTACAACAGGAGAAGATCAAAGAAAGTTGGCTAATGCAACAGAAATTTTTGAAGGCGGAAAAGAGATCGCATGTGTAACAGATGTTGATACAGAGAAGGGTGTTCCACGTGTAACAGATAGTGTACAGGATGAAACAGAAGTCCCAGCTGAATGTTTCGCGGAAATCCCTGAAATAACTATTACAACAGAAAGTACCGAGGAATCGTCAGAAATTTCTGTCCAAACTAGTAGTGAGGATTCATCAGAAATTCCTCGAGCACCAGAGAGTGGCGAAGTATCAGAAATATCTGTTGTAGCAGAAAGTGTAGAGGACGCATCAGAAATATCTGTTGAAGAAGAGAGATCAGAGGACGCATCAGAAGTATCTGTTGCAGCAGAAAGTGTAGAGGACGCATCAGAAATATCTGTTGAAGAAGAGAGATCAGAGGACGCATCAGAAGTATCTGTTGCAGCAGAAAGTGCAGAGGAAGTATCAGAAATATCTGTTGCAACAGAAAGTGCAGAGGAAATATCAGAAATATCTGTTGCAACGGAAAGTGCAGAGGACGTATCAGAAATATCTGTCACTACAGACAGCGCTGAAGAAGTATCAGAGGTGTCAGTTGCTACAGAGAGTGCAGAGGAAGTCTCAGAACTCTCAGGGCCATCAGAAAGCGCCGAAGAAACGTCAGAAATGTCTGCAGCCTCAGAAAGCCCTGAGGGGGTATCAGAATTGTCAGTTATATTAGAGAGTACCGAGGAGCCGTCGGAAGTGTCTCAGGCAGCGGAGAGTGTCGAAGGAACGGCAGAGGCTTCTGTTGCAGCAGAAAGCATCCGAGACACAGCAGCTGCAACAGAGAGCGCCGTGCTAGAGATCAGAGAGCACGAGGCTGAAGTGTGTGCGGCAGGGAAGGGTGCCGAGGGAGAGTCAAAAATACCTGTTGCAGCCGAAGGAATTTGTGAGCAGGGCGAGGGAAAATCGCAGTCGGAAGTCGGGGATCAAGTCCATGAGAAAGCGTCGTTACCCAGCGGTGAGCAGCCTTTCGTTTTGGTTTCGGTTCTGACCTTTTCTGACCTTGCCGCATTCGGGTCGTCGCTCCGGGCGTAACCTTGCCTTACTCTTGCAATGAATGCTAGGTAAGTGGCATTATTCTCGCTTGATTGAGCTACGTTGATTAAATGATGCAGCCTTCATTGTCGACAAGACCTGAGTATGTGCAGAAAGGTCACACTTTGTGTAAAGTGTGTGTGTACTTGATTCGGTTTGCTCGAGTGATGTAGAAGTGTCAAGGCATTTCTATATGTGCAGGTGGTGTATTGGTGAGCATGGTAGTTGTGAAGCTTTTCATATATTGTTCTCTCTCTCTCTCCCTTTCTCTCCCCCTCCCTCTTTCCGTCTGTCTGTCTCTTTTATATCTTTCCCCC